TCACCCCAATAATTGATAAAGTACATTTCTTTGTGGTGCACTGAGAGCTGGAGCTGGAGCTGGAGCTGGGGCTGGAGCTGGGGCTGGGGCTGGAGCTGGAGCTGGAGCTGGAGCTGGAGCTGGGGCTGGGGCTGGGGCTGGAGCTGGAGCTGGAGCTGGAGCTGGAGCTGGAGCTGGGGCTGGAGCTGGAGCTGGGGCTGGAGCTGGGGCTGGAGCTGGAGCTGGAGCTGGAGCTGGAGCTGGAGCTGGGGCTGGGGCTGGGGCTGGAGCTGGGGCTGGAGCTGGGGCTGGGGCTGGGGCTGGAGCTGGGGCTGGAGCTGGAGCTGGAGCTGGGGCTGGAGCTGGAGCTGGGGCTGGGGCTGGAGCTGGAGCTGGGGCTGGAGCTGGGGCTGGGGCTGGGGCTGGAGCTGGGGCTGGGGCTGGGGCTGGAGCTGGGGCTGGAGCTGGGGCTGGAGCTGGGGCTGGGGCTGGGGCTGGAGCTGGAGCTGGGGCTGGAGCTGGGGCTGGGGCTGGGGCTGGAGCTGGAGCTGGGGCTGGGGCTGGGGCTGGGGCTGGGGCTGGAGCTGGAGCTGGGGCTGGAGCTGGGGCTGGAGCTGGAGCTGGGGCTGGGGCTGGAGCTGGAGCTGGAGCTGGGGCTGGGGCTGGAGCTGGAGCTGGGGCTGGGGCTGGAGCTGGAGCTGGAGCTGGGGCTGGGGCTGGAGCTGGAGCTGGGGCTGGAGCTGGAGCTGGAGCTGGGGCTGGAGCTGGAGCTGGGGCTGGAGCTGGGGCTGGGGCTGGAGCTGGAGCTGGGGCTGGAGCTGGAGCTGGGGCTGGAGCTGGGGCTGGGGCTGGAGCTGGAGCTGGGGCTGGGGCTGGAGCTGGAGCTGGGGCTGGGGCTGGAGCTGGAGCTGGGGCTGGGGCTGGGGCTGGAGCTGGAGCTGGGGCTGGAGCTGGAGCTGGGGCTGGAGCTGGGGCTGGGGCTGGGGCTGGAGCTGGGGCTGGGGCTGGGGCTGGAGCTGGGGCTGGGGCTGGGGCTGGAGCTGGGGCTGGAGCTGGGGCTGGAGCTGGAGCTGGAGCTGGAGCTGGAGCTGGAGCTGGGGCTGGAGCTGGGGCTGGAGCTGGAGCTGGGGCTGGGGCTGGGGCTGGGGCTGGGGCTGGGGCTGGAGCTGGAGCTGGAGCAGGAGCTGGAGCTGGAGCTGGAGCTGGAGCTGGGGCTGGAGCTGGAGCTGGAGCTGGAGCTGGGGCTGGAGCTGGAGCTGGAGCTGGAGCTGGGGCTGGAGCTGGGGCTGGGGCTGGAGCTGGAGCTGGGGCTGGGGCTGGAGCTGGGGCTGGGGCTGGGGCTGGAGCTGGAGCTGGAGCTGGGGCTGGGGCTGGAGCTGGAGCTGGGGCTGGAGCTGGAGCTGGGGCTGGAGCTGGGGCTGGGGCTGGGGCTGGAGCTGGGGCTGGAGCTGGGGCTGGGGCTGGAGCTGGAGCTGGGGCTGGGGCTGGAGCTGGAGCTGGGGCTGGGGCTGGGGCTGGAGCTGGGGCTGGAGCTGGGGCTGGGGCTGGGGCTGGGGCTGGGGCTGGAGCTGGAGCTGGGGCTGGGGCTGGAGCTGGAGCTGGGGCTGGGGCTGGAGCTGGAGCTGGGGCTGGGGCTGGGGCTGGAGCTGGAGCTGGGGCTGGAGCTGGAGCTGGGGCTGGGGCTGGGGCTGGGGCTGGGGCTGGAGCTGGGGCTGGAGCTGGGGCTGGAGCTGGGGCTGGGGCTGGGGCTGGGGCTGGGGCTGGAGCTGGGGCTGGAGCTGGAGCTGGAGCTGGAGCTGGAGCTGGGGCTGGAGCTGGGGCTGGAGCTGGAGCTGGGGCTGGAGCTGGAGCTGGAGCTGGAGCTGGAGCTGGAGCTGGGGCTGGAGCTGGAGCTGGAGCTGGAGCTGGGGCTGGAGCTGGAGCTGGAGCTGGAGCTGGAGCTGGAGCTGGAGCTGGGGCTGGAGCTGGAGCTGGAGCTGGAGCTGGGGCTGGAGCTGGAGCTGGAGCTGGAGCTGGAGCTGGAGCTGGGGCTGGAGCTGGGGCTGGAGCTGGGGCTGGAGCTGGAGCTGGGGCTGGGGCTGGAGCTGGAGCTGGAGCTGGAGCTGGAGCTGGGGCTGGAGCTGGAGCTGGAGCTGGGGCTGGAGCTGGAGCTGGGGCTGGAGCTGGAGCTGGGGCTGGAGCTGGAGCTGGAGCTGGGGCTGGAGCTGGAGCTGGGGCTGGGGCTGGAGCTGGAGCTGGAGCTGGAGCTGGAGCTGGGGCTGGAGCTGGAGCTGGAGCTGGGGCTGGAGCTGGGGCTGGAGCTGGAGCTGGAGCTGGGGCTGGGGCTGGGGCTGGAGCTGGGGCTGGAGCTGGAGCTGGGGCTGGAGCTGGGGCTGGAGCTGGGGCTGGGGCTGGAGCTGGGGCTGGAGCTGGAGCTGGAGCTGGAGCTGGGGCTGGGGCTGGGGCTGGGGCTGGAGCTGGAGCTGGGGCTGGGGCTGGGGCTGGAGCTGGAGCTGGGGCTGGGGCTGGAGCTGGAGCTGGAGCTGGAGCTGGGGCTGGAGCTGGGGCTGGAGCTGGAGCTGGAGCTGGGGCTGGGGCTGGGGCTGGAGCTGGGGCTGGAGCTGGAGCTGGGGCTGGAGCTGGGGCTGGAGCTGGGGCTGGGGCTGGAGCTGGGGCTGGAGCTGGAGCTGGAGCTGGAGCTGGGGCTGGGGCTGGGGCTGGAGCTGGGGCTGGAGCTGGAGCTGGGGCTGGGGCTGGGGCTGGAGCTGGAGCTGGGGCTGGGGCTGGAGCTGGAGCTGGAGCTGGAGCTGGGGCTGGAGCTGGGGCTGGGGCTGGAGCTGGAGCTGGGGCTGGAGCTGGGGCTGGGGCTGGGGCTGGAGCTGGAGCTGGAGCTGGAGCTGGAGCTGGGGCTGGAGCTGGAGCTGGAGCTGGAGCTGGAGCTGGGGCTGGGGCTGGAGCTGGAGCTGGAGCTGGAGCTGGAGCTGGGGCTGGAGCTGGGGCTGGGGCTGGGGCTGGAGCTGGAGCTGGGGCTGGAGCTGGGGCTGGAGCTGGAGCTGGGGCTGGGGCTGGGGCTGGGGCTGGAGCTGGAGCTGGAGCTGGAGCTGGAGCTGGAGCTGGGGCTGGGGCTGGGGCTGGAGCTGGAGCTGGGGCTGGAGCTGGGGCTGGGGCTGGAGCTGGAGCTGGAGCTGGAGCTGGGGCTGGAGCTGGGGCTGGAGCTGGAGCTGGGGCTGGAGCTGGAGCTGGAGCAGGAGCTGGGGCTGGGGCTGGAGCTGGAGCTGGAGACCTGTTCTGTGTAGTGTCTTAAAACAACGAGGCATTAACGAACCGTGTCATTGATTCCCTGCGGAGAGCCACATGAACATGGTACTGTATGTTGTTCTTCAGATATACATCTTTGAAATGTTGTAAAAATCTTCCTCAACAGCTTGTTGGCTCGTCAAGCAAGCTTTTCTTTTTTTTGCATTAGAGACACACAGAACACAATTCTCTTCATGGCCATACGCTCTCTCATTGCTGAATCAATAATCAAAGCTTTTTTTCCGTCCTTTCTTGTGCCCCTGTCAGTCCCGCATTCATCCGCTACAGGCCCGGGTGATGAATATTAATGTCGGGATTATCAATTCTCTTTGTGTTGGGAAAATACATACAATGCAGCGGTTGAATGAAAGACTTCTGAGAATGGGTTGAGGGAATAAGTCAATTTAGCATATCGGCACAAGCATTCTGCCGTCATTAACAATCACCAGGCTGCGTGCAGTAAGTGATGAGCTCTTCCAAAGTTACTTGTGAGACGAGGATATTGTTACAACAAAACTCCAATCCATCTGTCAAAGGTTTGCTTTAGTTTGAAATCTTTGAAAATGTGTCCAATGGTTGTAATATGTTCTTTGTTGTGTGTTGAAAAGAGTATAAAGCAATTAGGTTATGTCTCTTCTAAGGATGAGGCATGAAAAGGTCTTGACATGAATTAATAATAATGAAAAAAACTTAGTGGCAAATCTAAGCTTGAACATATCGATCCACAATAACTCAATGGTGCGTTCAAAACATGTATTGAATATGTATTTTATTGATTAAAAATAGCCGTACATTGCACCATAATAACCACACTTACTGTATTTTTGGTAACTTTAAATAAGTTTTATCATCCAGTGATCTGCTAGCCAATATAGTTCAACCAATGATTTGAATTAATTTCATCCAATCAGGAAGCTCAGGGTGAGCATGGGCGGGTCTGGGCAACTGGCAATCACTTCAAAGACCAAATGTTGAAATAGCACTTGTAGAGCACTGACTTCTGCCAAGAGGCACAGTTCCATTGATTTATAGAATTGCTGGATCCCGATAGTGATCTGGATGACCTACAAAATCCTTGTCCCTTTTGGAACACGTTTTTAATGTTTTAATGTTACTACTCGGGCTCAGACATTATTCTTTGACTGTATTTATTTGTTTGAAGAGTTAGTATTAATGTTAGTTTGGACATTGTTTTTTTATTGATTGTTTAAAGTGTCAGATACTTTTTTAAATGTGAGAAGAGAGTGAAGCTTTTTGAAGCCACAGGTTAGACCCACTGAGGACCCAACAAACTCCTTAACCATAATGCCTTCCTGTGGCATATTCAAGTCAAGGTAATTCCACATACAGTATAACACCTCTGTCATACAGTATAACACCTCATACAGTATAACACCTCTGTCATACAGTATAACACCTCTGTCATTCAGTATAACACCTCTGTCATACAGTATAACACCTCTGTCATACAGTATAACACTTCATACAGTATAACACCTCTGTCATACAGTATAACACCTCTGTCATACAGTATAACACCTCTGTCATACAGTATAACACCTCTGTCATACAGTATAACACCTCTGTCATACAGTATAACACCTCTGTCATTCAGTATAACACCTCTGTCATACAGTATAACACCTCATACAGTATAACACCTCTGTCATACAGTATAACACCTCTGTCATACACTATAACACCTCTGTCATACAGTATAACACCTCCTCTGTCATACAGTATAACACCTCTTTCATACAGTATAACACCTCTGTCATACAGTATAACACCTCCTCTGTCATACAGTATAACACCTCATACAGTATAACACCTCTGTCATACAGTATAACACCTCTGTCATAAAGTATAACACCTCTGTCATACAGTATAACACCTCTGTCATAAAGTATAACACCTCTGTCATACAGTATAACACCTCTGTCATACAGTATAACACCTCTGTCATACAGTATAACACCTCCTCTGTCATACAGTATAACACCTCCTCTGTCATACAGTATAACACCTCTGTCATTCAGTATAGCACCTCATACAGTATAGCACCTCATACAGTATAACACCTCTGTCATACAGTATAACACCTCATACAGTATAACACCTCTGTCATACAGTATAACACCTTAGTCATACAGTATAACACCTCCTCTGTCATACAGTATAACACCTCCTCTGTCATACAGTATAACACCTCATACAGTATAACACCTCTGTCATACAGTATAACACCTCCTCTGTCATACAGTATAACACCTCTGTCATACAGTATAACACCTCCTCTGTCATACAGTATAACACCTCCTCTGTCATACAGTATAACACCTCATACAGTATAACATCTGAGACATGTCGATGGCAGACTCATTGCCACAAAGTGAATATAAACGCTGTAAACACACGGGTGCAGCCTTAGCATCCCTCGCCTACGTTGCCACTAACTCTTGTGTCAGAT